ATAACATGACGATGCTTGAAACTAAAGCATAGCTCAGATGACTAGCTCTTATACCCACATACTCTTTAAAACACCTGGGGAATTAGTTGAATTATGTTGCGGATAATTTTGAGATTCAGTTAGCAGCCTCCGCATATATAAAAGAGATACATGATACCTTCTGAAACTAACATCAAACACATCTTTGGAGTAGTCTAAACTAACTGGTTGAGAAACAAGTAAATTTGTACATTATTTATAAAGTGACCAAGAAGAACGACATCTATGGAGTACTATAAACTTGGATTTGGTTCATATATTGTGTTACAGAGTAAACGAAAGCTGGTACTAATAAATGCCAACGAGGACATACTATCTGAACATTTTTGGTACTTCCTTTTTGTAACACAAATATATTGCAGAATTGAGGAAAGACAAGATAGTTGTAGGTTTCACGAATCATTATGCGTTTACTGGCGAAACCATGGTCGTGAATAAATTATGTATTTGTCAAACGTACGTACAATTGTCTTGTCTTTCCTCAATTTTGTAATTACAAAGTTTCACCAAGTACCGACGGTTTCGAGTATCAATTATATAAAAAACATTAATTATTCACACGAAAATTTCTGGACGCTAGTGAAGAGTAGTTGTTTTAATTTATCAACAGCCTATTGTCTACTATCTACAACTTTGTAGTCGAATGTACAATGCACTGTTTTAACATGCTCTTCTGTTCATTATTAAAACTGTATGTTTGTTGTTGTTTTTACAGGAGCCACAGAAAGCGGGGAAGAACCTAAGTTTTCTAACTACATCTTGCAGTGACCTTGATCTCGCTAAGTTAGCTGGTTAGATTTTCATTCCGTTCTGTTTGAGAGAAAGAAGAAACCCTGTCAAGCATCGATCGATGAGGAGGTTACAACAAAATATCGCGTGTAAGAGAAACGTCGGAGAAGCTAAACATAGATAAGCCGAAAGACGTTCTAACTAAGATACAGAAAACTTTCTGTGTTTGTTCATTTTAAAGGAAGTGAATTATTTTACACAACATTTTAAATAAATCACAAAACAAAATATCGGCTTCACTGATACATTAGCAAGAACTGACAATAATTAAATAAAAGTACGT